GGGAGGCTGAGGCAGGAGAATGGCGTAAACCCGGAAGGCGGAGCTTGCAGTGAGCTGAGATCCGGCCACTGCACTCCAGCCTGGGTGACACAGCGAGGCTCCGTCTCAAAGAAAAAAAAAAAAAAGAAATGCACTTTTTTTTCTTTGAGGACAGGTCTCACTCTGTCACCCAGGCTGAAATGCAGTGGCGTGACCATGGCTCACTGAAGCCTCGACCTCCCACAGTCAAGCCATCCTCCCACTTCAGCCTCCAGACTAGCTGGGCCCACAAACGTCCACCACATCTGGCTAATTTTTTTTTTATTGTATGTAGAGACGAGGTCTCGCTTTGTTGGCCAGGCTGGTCTCGAACTCCTGGGCTCAAGCGATCCTCCCGCCTCAGCCTCCCAAAGTGCTGGGATTACAGGCATGAGCCACTGCACCCAGCCAGGAATGCACATTTTTACTAAAGGTCTTCCCCTCTATTCTTTCTAGCCACAGGCCTCATGGCCAGAAATGGACTCTCCAATTTTAAGCAGGTTACAGAAACTAGCTTCTAAATTTTGGGGGCTCAATATGAAATGCAATCATTTTGTCATTAGAGTGGTTGCTAATAAACAGACCAAACCCTGCTGAAAAAGTCACAGGGGTACGTGTCTGTGCAATTTCTGGGCTTTCTTCTAATTATTATTAATTGCAGAAGTCCCTGGGCTCCTTGCTGCTGGTATTGAAGATGCAGTAATTGAAACTATTCTTTGTGCCACTGATGGAAGAGAGAATGTTGGGAAAGGAAACTAGAAATGATATGTCGTCTCAAGAATGGAAATAGGATGGAAGGTACGTGCTTTAACTGTCAAGTACTCAGGTCCTCTGAGGCTGTGAAGGGCCCAAGTGCAAAGTTATGGGAGGAGATTCCACGTCAGGTCAGATCCTAATAATGGCCTAACTTGGCTCCTAATGCAGTAGCAGAGGACACTCAAAGTAAATAGATGACAGGATGAAAACACGATTCACAAAACAAGAGTAAAAAGGCCTAATGGGGCCCGAGGAAAAAAACTGAAGTTTGTTTTAAAGTCCCCAGTGCTCACGGGCATCCAGTGATAGGATACCCACCCAAACCCAAGCTTCCAGGGTGCTGGAAACCCCACTCCCCTCCCGAAGGCCGCTCTAGACCTACCTTCCGCTTGTTGTGATGAGCGATATAGAGGACTGCCACAAGAATGGCTGCAGTCACCAGATATGCAAAGAAGTGGCTGCTCTCCGCGCTGGCATTTCCAGAACTCTCCCCATAACGGTCATCCTTCTCGCTACCCCTGGAATCCAAAAGTGTCCCTTCACGGTTTTCACTGGAGGCAGAACCGGACATCTTTTCTTTCTCTTCTTTGGGCGGTGAGCCCTCCTCGGGTCCTGTATCATCATCTTCAGCCTCTTTGGGCTCCACATCCTCAGTAGGCTCTGAAGACTTAACTTCCTCCTGCGGGGAAGAAATGAGGTCAGTGTCCTCCCCAGATTCGGTTTTGAAAGCATGAGGAGAAAGCTTCCCTTTGTCAGCTAACTGGTTTGTGTCAGCCTTGGGGAGCTCCTTGTTATCAGAAGGGTTGGAGACGGGCTTGGAATGGTCTTTCCTGGAAGGCTGCTCTGGAACCACCTTGCTAGGGCCGTCTTTTGGGGTCTGCTCCTCCGCATCTGACTTGCTAGACCCGTCTATTGGGCCCTGCTCCTCTGCACCGGACTTGTTAGCGGCATCTTTTGGAGTCTGCTTCTCCGCACCTGACTTGTTAGGGACGTCTTTTGGGATCTGATCCTCCGCACCCGACTTGCTACAGCCGTCGGCACCCGACTTATTAGGGACGTCTTTTGTGGTCGGCGCCTCCGCACCCGATTTGCTAGTGCTGTCTTTCGTGGTCTGCGCCTCCGAACCCGACTTGCTAGGGCTGTCTTTTTGGGTCTTTGCCTCCGCACCCGACTTGCTGGAGCTGTCTTTTGTGATCTGAGCCTCCGAACCTGACTTGCTAGAGCTGTCTTTTTGGGTCTTTGCCTCCGCACCCGACTTTTTGGGGTTGTCTTCTGGGGTCTGCGCCTCCGCACCCGACTTGCTAGGGCTGTCTTTTGAAGTCTGCGGCTCTGGATCCGACCTGCTTGGGCTGTCTTTTGAAGTCTGCGGCTCTGGATCCAACCTGCTAGGGCTGTCTACTGAAGTGGGCGGCTCTGGATCCGACTTGGTAGAGCCTCCAGGCTGTTGGCTGAAGGTGGGGTAAGTAGAGACGTTTTCTGTAGAAGGCCGAACTCCAGCTTCTTCTTTCTTGTCCGAGAGCGACGCGGCTCCTAAAATAGAAAAACGAGTTAGCACCAGAGAAGCGCAGGCCGGAAGAAGGAACTCCTCAGAGCTGGAAGATATTGGGAGCAGCGGGGAAACAGGGATTGGGGGGTGGGGCGGGAGATGATGGCGAGCGGAGAGGTGGGTCGGGCAGCGAAGAAGCGAGGCTAGAAGTTACCTGCCCAGGTGAGAATGGGGGGCCTGGGGGCAAGAGTGGGATGCGGGATAGAGGGTCTTACCATCCACTGCGACGCTCAGGAGGACTAACGCAACCACGAACCTCATCCTGCTGGAATAGCGCTTCCGCCCTCTAACGCTCTCGCGAGATCCGCGCGCGGGGCCCCTCTCCAGTCCAGTCCCGCCCCTGCTGCGCGCGTCTTTCCGTCTCCGGCTTCCGCCAAGACAAAGGGCGAGATTTGCTGGGGCCGCTGGTGCTGTTGTCTGCGCTCGCCTTCCGCTGCGGTGGTTACGGTCGCTGAGTGGAAAGTGAGCCTCTTCTTCCTGGTTTCTCGTCTCTACTACAGCCCAACAGACTGGCCCTCCGTTTTTCGTCCTCTCCGCTGCGTACTTCCGAGACCTTACAGGCAGAGCTGGAGCTCCCTGGCCTCTCGCACTGGCCGCGGAAGTGAGGTCGCTAGAGGCAGGCGCCTCTTGGCCACCACCATCCTGTGCTTGCGTTTCTATGCTCTGCTTTTTTCGTGTTTCCCTCTTGGTAGTATACAAACATGCGGTGCTCTGGTCTCTCCCATGTGGGAACAAATCCATCCGATCACCTACAAAGCGTTGCCTTCGCATCCCGGCCCTCCTCCTTCCCGACTCCACAGAGACGGTGTTCTCCGAGGTCGCCAAACATCTTTTCCAAAAAGTGCAGCCTTTTTCTGGTCGTAAAAGTACAGAAGCAGAAAACAAAACCTGACTGCCACCCTTCCGGGATAATCACTATTAATGTTTTAGTGTATTGTCTGCCCTCTAAACATTTAATGTTTTTTGAATAGATAATACGGTATAATGTTTCAGAAATGATAACCAGATTTTAAAGTAAATAGACCTTTCTTAGAAGAGTCTTCCTACTCCTCCACAGGTTACCGCTTACATTAGTTTATTATGTTTCCATTTAGTTTTGTAAAAAAAAAAAAAAGGACACTTTCCCTTCTTAATTAGTGTATTTCTCTTTTCTTCTATGCAGATTTATTTTCTCCGCATATTGGGATAATCAGGTAAATGGTTTTGTATCCCACCGTTTACAGTTACTGTTATGTTTATACATTAAATGTTTGAAATCACTTTATGAACGATTGCCAGGCTTGGTGCTTAGGAGACAGTGATTTAAGAAATGATAGGTCTTAAATGAGATTACATCAAGTTAAAAAGCTTCTGCACAGCAAAGGAAACAGTGAAGAAACAACCTACATAATGGGAGAACTATTCGCAAGCTATCCATCCGACAAGGGATTAATAACTAGAATATATAAGAAACTCAAGGAAAAAAATATAATTAAAAAATGGGCACCAGCCAGGGCAACATGATGAAACCCTGTGTCTACCAAAAATACAAAAAATTAGCCGGGCATGGTGGCCTGTGCATGTAATCCCAACTACTCAGAAGGCTGAGGATGGGAGGATTATTTGAGCCTGGGAGGCGGAGATTGCAGTGAGTGAGCCAAAATCTTATCACTGCATTCCCGCCTAGGCAACCATCTCAAAAAAAGAAAAAAAAAAAAAAATGGGCAAAAGACCTGCTGAATAGACGTATCTCAAAAGATGACATACAAATGGCCAACATAGAAATGGTATGTGAAAAGATGCTCACTATCACTAATCATCAGGGAAATGCAAATCCAGACCACAATGAGAGATCATCTTAGCCCAGTTAGAATGGCTGTTATCAAAAGAAAAAAAAATACATAATGTTGACAAGGATGAGAAGAAAAGGGAATGCTCATATCCTGTTGGTGGGAATGTAGATTAGTACAGCCATTATGGAAAATAGTATTGGCAGGGCATGCAGGCTCACACCTGTAGTCCCAGCACCTTGGGAGGCTGAGGCAGGCAGATGACTTGAGCCCAGGAGTTCGAAATCAGCCTGGGCAATGTAGCAAGACTCTATCTCTATAAAAAAATAAAGGAAAACAGCACAGAGTTTCTCAGAAACTAAAAATAGAACTGCCATATGATCCAGTATTCCCACTGCTGGGTATGTATCCAAAAGAAAGGAAATAAGTATGTCAAAGAGATAGATACTCTTGTAATCCCAGCACTTTGGGAGGCTGAGGCGGGAGGATCGTGTGAGCCCAGAAGTTCCAGACCAGACTGGGCAATATGGCAAGACCCCATCTCTCACTTTTTTTTTTTTTTTTTTTGAGACAGTCTTACTCTGTCACCCAGGCTTGCGTGCAGTGGCATGACTTCAGCTCACTGCAATCTCCATCTCCTGGGCTCTAGTGATCCCCCACCTCAGCGTTCCAAGTAGCTGAGACTAGTGGATCTCATGAAAGTAGAGGTGGCTACCAGAGGCTGGGAGGGGATGAGGAGAGGGAAGATGAAGAGAAGTTGGTTAATGGGTACAAAAATACAGATACATAAAAAGAGTAAGTGTTCTGTAGTCAATACAGTAGGAAAATTATGGTTAACAATAACATCGTATATTTCAAAAGAGAAGAATTGTAATGTTCCCAAAACAAAGAATAGATAAATATTTGAGGTGATAGATATCCCAGTTACTCTGATTTGGTCATTAAATATTGTATACCTGTATAAAAATACCACATGTACCCCATAAATATGTACAACTATATAAAAAAAATTTTTTTTGAGACAGTTTTGCTCTTGTTACCCAGGCTGGAGTGCAATGGCGCGTTCTTGGCTCAGCACAACCTCTGCCTCCCAGGTTCAAGTGATTCTCCTGCCTCAGCCTCCCGAGTAACTGGGACTACAGGCATGCACCAGCACACCCAGCTAATTTTGTATTTTTAGTAGAGACAGGATTTCTCCACGTTGGTCAGGCTGGTCTTGAACTCCTGACCTCAGGTGATCCACCCTCTTCAGCCTCCCAAAACGCTGGGATTACAGGCGTGAGCCACTGCGCCCAGCCCTATATCAAGTTTTTAAGGTAGGTATTAACTTCATGGAGCATGCAATCTTTTGGGGTACATGAATATTAAATATCTACACAAACGTGTGCGTGCATGCACATTCCAAGAACTGCCAGAAAGAAAAGTACAGAAACCATGAGATCATTTGAGGAAGGGACCCTTAAGCTGAGGACTGAAGGTTATAGCTGTGTCCCAGGTGAAGAGGAAAGGAAGAGGAGGATGAGCTTTCCTGGCTGAGTGTACAGCATGTATTAGGTTGGTGCAAAATCAATTGCGTTCTGGCCGTTTGACAAAAACAGCAATTACTTTTGCACCAACCTAATACAATGGTCTGCAGACAGGTGGGAACCTGGTATTTTGTGTAAGTCTAAAGACTACAGTTGTTAGATAATAGAGAAGGAGGAGAAAGGCAAGAAAGAGGCTGGAACAGAGCCAAATTAAAGAACAAATGATCTGAGAATTGTCTAGAACATGAATCTACTAAGCACAAAAAGTACAACAGAAAATATGCCAGTTAACTTTGTGGGTTTTGTTTTGTTTTGAGATGGAGTCTCCCTCTGTTGCCCAGGCTGGAGTGCAGTGGCGTGATCTCAGTTCATTGCAGCCTCCGCCTCCCGGGTTCAAACGATTCTTCCACCTCAACCTACTGCCTAGCTGAGATTACAGGCACCCACCACCACGCCCGGCTAATTTTTGTATTTTTAGTAGAGACGGGGTTTCACCATGTTGGCCAGGCTGGTCTCAAACACCTGGCCTCAAGTGATCCGCCCACCTCGGCCTCCCAAAGTGCTGAGATTACAGGCGTGAGCCACTGCGCCCGGCCATATGCCAGTTAACTTTGATTGAAATGTAAACTAGTCCCACGCCTGCCAGAAAGAACTACAGCTGCCACGGGAAATAACTCCTCTGTAGTCTACTGAGTACAATATTTGGCTTACATGATGTGCAGTTCTAGTCAATTAGAATTCTTCAGAATTTCAAGGAATAGTACATGTAGTGGCATATAATTTTCAGGAACAAGTGCTTTATTTTTATTTTATTATTATTTTTTGAGACAGGGTCTCATTCTGTCACCCAGGCTGGATATTTTTTAATTTAAAAAACAATTAATATGTTCTCAGTATGTTTCTGTGTCGAAGAAAATGTCTGTCATACATACACTCATTACTGAAGAGAAAATAAGAATTACAGGAAGTGAGAAATCTTTTGCCAAACTATTTCAGAACCTTGACTCCACTTTGGCTGAAAGAAATGAATTGGTAAATTAATTTGTTTCTAAAAGAAAACTCTGGCCAGGTGCAGTGACTCTTGCCTGTAATCCCAGCACTTTGGTTGGGAGGCTAAGGCTGGCTGATTGTTTGAGCCCAGGAGTTCAAGACCACCCTGGGCAACGTGGTGAAACCTCGTCTCTACAGATAATTTTAAAAATTAGCTGGGCATGGTGTGCACCTACAGTCCCAGGAGCACTGAGATGGGAGAATTGCTTGAGCGTCGTAGGTGGAGGCTGTGGTGAGCTGTGATCAGGTCACTGCACTCCAGCCTTGGCAACAAAATGAGACTCTGTCCTAAAAAATGAAAAGAAAAAAAGAAAGAAAGAAAGAAAGAAAAGATTAAATTCTGGCTGGGTGGGGTTGCTCAAGCCTGTAATTCCAGCACTTTGGGAGGCTGAGGCAGGCAGATCATTTGAGATCAAGAGTTCGAGACCAGCATGACCTACATGGTGAAACCCTGTCTCTACTAAAAATACAAAAAAAGTTAGCTGGGCATGGTGGTGCATGCCTGTAATCTCAGCTACTTGGGAGGCTGAGGCAGGAGAATCACTTGAACTTGGGAGGCAGAGGTTGCAGTGAGCTGTACCACTGCACTCCAGCTTAGGCAACAGAGCAAGACTCTCTCAAAAAAAAAAAAAAGGAAAAGAAAATTATTTCTGTCTCCCCTAAATAAATGTCTGACTAACATTTAAAGATACTGGCTTATCAAGGGTATGTGCGTCTGGTGAGGGAACAGTAAATTATTAAGCCTGACCTGGTGTCCAAATTACTAGACAATAGAGGAAAGGAGTCCAAATCATGCAGAACTCATGGGCCATGTCCAGTGTTTTATATTTTATCTTAACAATAATGATATTGCTAGAGTTTTAAGTAGGGGAAAAATAGAATTGGGATTTTTTAAAGACAGTCAAATTTAGCAATGGGGTGTTATATATTAACACCAAGTGTAGTGATACTAATGTTAATAAGTTGTGATAACCCAATACCATCACACCAGCTAAGGTTGGGGAATTTTTGTTGTTTCAATTTATTTTTTATTTTATTTTATTTTTGTTTTTGAGACAGAGTCTCACTCTGTCGCCCAGGCAGGAGTGCAATGGCACAATCTCGGCTCACTGTAACCTCCGCCTCCCGGGTTCAAGCAATTCTTCTGTTTCAGCCTCCCAAGTAGCTAGTATTACAGGCGCCCACCACCACACCCAGCTAATTTTTGTATTTTAGTAGAGGCAGGGTTTCACCATGTTGGCCAAACTGGTCTTAAACTCCTAACCTCAAGTGATCCACCCACCTTGGCCTCCCAGAGTGTTGGGATTACAGGCATGAGCCACCGGGCTCAGCCAAATTTTTAAATATTACTCTGGTTGTATCGTGAAGAACTTGAGTGGGGAGGGAGGAGTGAATTTAAGAGTTAAGAGACTAATGCAATAGTTCAAGTAGCACTAGTGTAGGGACAGTGAGAAGGAGGGAAGTAATTGGACTCAAGATAAATCTGAAGGTAATACTAACAGGCCTTGAAGATGGGCTGGGTGTGGGGAAAGGAGTGATGGTGAGGAAGGTGTGGAGGTGTCCTTTCCCTGAGGGAAGGAACACTAATGGAGAAGCAAGTCTGATGGGGGTGGGACATATAAAATGAATTTGCTTATGGTTAATTGCTTCTGTGTAGTTTGGACCATGAGACAGCCAGGTGAAAATATCTAGTTGGAAATGTGATCATGGAGTTCAAAGGTAAGTATAGGAACAATTTTTCTAACTAAATATTGTTCAAAACAGGATTGTTAATGGTTTCATAAAAAGTAATCTATTAGTTTATCGTAACTGTGACAGTTCTCTTACTATTGGACATCTG